CGTGGATGGACAGGTAGATGGTGGATGGACAAGTGGATGTGTGGATGCATGGATGCATAGATACGTGGATGGATAGGGGATGGGCAGGTAAATGATGGATAGACAAGTGGATATGTGGATGCGTGTACATGGATGAACAGGTAGATGGTGAATGAACAAGTGGATGTGTGGATGCATGGATGGATAGGGGATGGGTAGGTAGATGATGGATGGACAAATGGATGTGTGGATGCGTGCATATGTGGATATGTGGATGGACAGGGAATGGGTAGGTAGATGATGGGTGGATAAGTGGGTGGTCGATGGGTGGGAGGCTGGATGAAAGATGGAGAATGAAGGATGAATGGAGCGGGGGGTAGATGAAGACAGGAAGAGATTAATGGACAAATGGATAAGTGGATTCAACAGGGAAGTGTGGTTGAAAACAATGAAAGTATCCAGAGAAAATAGTCCAACAGCATCAAGAGGAACCTAGGAAACAGGAAAGGTATGGAACACACAGGGGGTGTGGCCTTAGACTCAGAGCAGGAAAGAGGAGAGAGGGTCACCAAACACCTGAGGTGACTGTGGGAAGCCCATCCTACCTTTCACAAGTGCCCTCAAAACAATCGTCTCAAACTCCTCGGCGCCATCTTCGGTCGAATAGATGGTGAGCAGCTCTTTTCGGGTCATGATCCTCTCGACCTGTAGAACACACGACTCGGGCTACCAGCCAAGACCTGTGGTCCCACCTATCCTTCACCCTGCCAGCCAGGGTGCCTGGCTCTTCTCACCTTGGTTCCACAATGCCATACCTGGGCCTGCAGGACCTCAGGGTCTCCCTTAGGGAAATAACGCCTAATCCGATCTCGGGCTTCGCCTCTCCTGAGTCCCCCACTCCCTGTGGCCAGAGTGTCTTCCAGGGTCTCCACCAGGCAGTCTGCAGCACCGCCAGAGCCAGCCACCAAGAGGCAGGGGAGCTGAGCCTGTGTGGCATCCTCTATCCGCTTCAGGAGCAAGGAAAGAGCTAATCAGGGCCCCCAAGATTCTGGTCTGTAGAGTCCTGGCCCTCAGCTCTCCTCCCACCTCAGACACAAGCTCGCAGCTCCAGATACCTTCAACATCTTCTCATCACCATCGATGAGAAGAAGGAGTACAGGGATGTCAATTCCAGTCCCTGAGAGAAAGGGGAAAGGGAAACTTGGTCACCTTCTATCAACTTTTGCTGGGGGTGGGAAAGAACTACATTTCCCAGGAGTCCACAGGGCAGACACTGTCCTTGTCCCAACCTTGTGGCTAATACTAGTGGGAAGAATTGTCATTCTTCTTATTCTTTAAAACAAAATTTAATTCTTTATTCTTTAAATAAAAATTTAAACTTTTTCTTACATTTACTTGTATAATGTTGGAGGGACGGTGCTCACAAATGGGCGGAGGCCCAAGGACAATTTGTGGGAGTCTGTCATCTCAGTTTGTGGATACTGGGGATAAAACTCGAGTCATTAGACTTGGCAGCAGATGCCCTTACTTGCTGAGCCGCCTCACTGGCCTGGGAACATTGCTATTCTTTGTGAACTTTGAGGTATGGAGGAGACTTTACGGGTTTTATTATTAAAATGTGTGTTTTGTATGGTGTGTATGTGTGTGTGCATGTTCATGTGTGTGTGATCATGCAGGTGTGTACATGTGCCATGTGTTTGTGCGGAGGTCAGAGCACAAGTTCAGGTTCTCACCTTTCACCTTGTTTTGGAGCAGGGTCTCTTGTTATACAGCAAGCCAGCTGTCTCTGTCCCCCATCTCACCATAGAGGAGCTGGGGTTGCAGGTGTGAGCTGGGATTGCAGGTGTGAGCTAGGGTTGCAAGTGTGAGCTGGGATTGCAGGTGTGAGCTGGGATTGCAGGTGTGAGTGGGGATTGCAGGTGTGAGCTGGGGTTGTAGGTATGAGCTGGGTTTGCAGGTGTGAGCTGGGGTTGCAGGTGTGAACTGGGGTTGCAGGTGTGAACTAGGGTTGCAGGTGTGAGCTGGGGTTGTAGGTATGAGCTGAGTTTGCAGGTATGAGCTGGGATTGCAGATGTGAATGCTGCAGCCAACTTGATATGAATTCTAAGGCCCTCATACTTGCACCGCGAGTTCCTTGTCTGCCAAGTCATCTCCCAGCAACCCTATCCACCCCCCACTTTTTTTCTTTTTTGTTTCTTGAGATAGGGTTTCTCTGTGTAACAGCCCTGGGTGTACTGGAAATGGCTTTGCAGACCAGGCTGGCCTTGAACTCACAGAGATTCACCTGCCTCTGCTTCCCAAGTGCTGGGATTAAAGGTGTGAGCCACTACCACCTGGCTTTTGTTTTTGTTTTGTTTTTCCGAGACAGGGGTTCTCTGTGTAGTCCTGGCTGTCCTAGAACTTGCTCTGTAGACCAGGCTGGCCTTGAACTCACAGAGATCTATCTGCCTCTGCCCCCAAGTGCTAAGAAGGCATGCACTACTACCACCTGACATTTTTTTAAGATTTACTTATTTATTTTATAAGTATAATATAAGCATTTTATAAGTATAATGTAAATAATCTGTTGACTTTACACCAGAGAGGGCATCAGATTCCATTGTAGATGGTCATGAACAACCATGTGGTTGCTGGGAATTGAACTCAGGACCTCCAGAAGAACAGCCAGTGAACTGAAGCCAGAAGAACTGAGCCATCTCTCCAGCCCCCACCTCAATATTTTTTAAGACAAAGTCTCACACATCCCAGTCTGACCTCCAACTCATTCTGGAACCAAGGATGACCCTGGACTTCTGATCCTCTTGCATTCACCTCTTGAGTGCTGGGGAGGACATTTCAACACTAGAAGCCAAGGGTGGTGCCACCTAACTTCAGAAGGGCGGGGAGAGCTTGTGACCTGGACTCTTGGCTCCTGAGTCAACCGTATGATTAGCTAAGCACTTCAAAGCCCAAGGAGGTGAAGGTTCAGGAAGAAAAGGAAGAAAATATAGATAGACGAACAATCTCAGCACCATAAAAATATTAAAAATCCGGCAGTGGAAGATAAAGGCGATGTGTGTGGATTCTGCCCTCCGCTAAATAAGAGTAAAACTGCACAGGGCCGGGCTAAGGAAACACAAGAAAAGGAGGTGGCTACATTTAAATGTGTGTTTTCTTTTCTTACTGCTGTTGGTTTGGGTTTTAGGGGACAGGATGCCACTCTAACCCAGGATGGCCTCGATCTCATGCTCCTCCGTGTGAGTCACCACACCCAGCTAAAGCCATTTTCTCTCTATTTTAAATTAGACTTATTTCATGTATATCTGTGTATGAGTCAGCTGATAACTCGCAGGAATTGAATCTCTGCACCATGTGGATTTCAGGAATTAAACTCCAAACACTGGGTTTGGCAGCAAGTGCCTTCTACCTGCTGAACTCACTGGTTCCACAACCGCACATTCTTGATAAAAGAGAAAACAGCCACAAAGTAACAGTTATTGTGCTGTTTTGAATAAGAATGCCCCCACAGGCTCAGATATTTGAGTGCTTAGTCACCAGGGAGTGGCACTATTTGAGAAGGATTAGGAGGTGTGGCCCTACAGGAGAATGTCACTCAGGCAGCAGGAAGAGAGAATGTCACTGGGCACCTAAAGGTCTCAGATGCTCAAGCCAGGCCCAGTGTCACTCTCTCTTCCTGCTGCCTGAGGACCTGAATGGAGAACTCTGCTTCTTCTCCAGCACCATGTCTGTCTGTATACCATCATGCTCCCCTCTGTGATGGTGGTAGACTACATTTCTGAAATTGTAAGCAAGCCCCAATTAAACACTTTCTTTTATTTATCTATTTTTTTATTTTGATTTTGATTTTTTAAGACAGGGTTTATCTGTGTAACATCCTGGAACTCACAGAGTTCTGGGGTTTGGAAAATTCTGTTTTTGAAATCTGGTTGGATGAGTAGATCCAGAGTTCAATTCTTCCAATTTATTACTCTGTGAGTTTTGTACCTAGGGAGATTACAAGACTATCTTCCGCCTTTTCTGTTTTCATTAAAACCAATTTTTTGTATTTTTTTTGTTTTTCAAGACAAGATTTCTCTGTGTAGACCCAGCCATTTTGACATACAGGGTGCCCTTGAACTCAGAGATCTGCCTGCCTCTGCCTCCCAAGTACTGAAGTTAAACTTGTGCACCACCAACCCTGGTAAAAACAATTTTTTAAAAGAAACTTGTGTATGTGTGTACATATATGTGTCTCTATGTGTTCGTGCCTGCTTAAAGAGACCACAAGAGGGAGGAGGATCCCCTGGAGCTAGAGCTACAGGCAGTTGTGAGACACCCAAAGTTGGATCCCAGGCAGCAACCTCGCTTAACTACTGAGTCATCTCCTCACCCTCCCTTCTCTGTTCATTTAATTATATTTATTTATTCCTTTATTTATTGAGAAAGGGTCTTTTTCTTTAGCTCCTGCAACCCCTGTGTAGTCCAGACTGGCCTTGAATTTACCGAACTCTGCCTACCTCTGCCTCCCGAGTGCTGGAATTAAAGGTGTGCGCCACCATGCCCGGCATGGACAAGCCTCTTAACAGAGGAAATTTGCCCAATCTTGACCACACCTGGCCAGTGGGGTCCTGAGTGCTGAGTCCTGAACACAAAGCCCACTCACCTCCCACTCCAGTCTTCTGCTGAGCCACGTAGGACTCAAAGCGAAGGCGGAAGCGGTTCTCACCGCCCAGGCGCCCATATGTGCCGTCATCCACCAAGAAGAAAGCAGAATAGTTGTAGTCCAGGGGGAACTCAACTCCGTCCTCAGGGTCACCGCGCCATCTGTACCTTGCAGGGAATGAGCCCTGAGCACAATGCCAGGCAGAGAAGTCTTTCAGAAGGGACAGACCAGGAGGACCTGACCTGCTCCCTCAGACCCAGCCCTCCCCCCTCAGACCCAGGAGTCCTTCCCAGCCTCCTCCCTCAGACCAGCACTCCCAGTCAGGGCCTCTTCTCTGAACCCCATTCCCACCTTAGGGTTGATCAGCATATCTCTGTTCCGGACCACACCCCAGGGGGCCACACCCATGGCCACCACCTTGCTGCCCCCAGTGCTGGCCATCTGGTGGTCCCTCACAGCCACACCCACATGCCGGCCTATGCCTGTGTGCAGTCCCCCTGTGACAATCCAGGCCCCTGTGTAAGACAGAGAGGAAACCAGTAAGGCACGGGAATGGAAGCAATGCCCTCCAACCCGGGCAGCAGTGGGGCCGAGGCCCAGGAGACACAGTCCCTAACCCCTGTGGTCACCTGTGCTCTGAGCGGCTCGCACCAGCTCATGACGTAGAAGGTCCTGTAGCCAGGTCTGGAGCACGGGGCCCCCCGACCCCCCCAGTACTGACACCACCAAGTTTGGGGCACGAAAGCCCCAAGTACGGGTGACGAGACTGTACACAGTGGCCGGATCTGTGCGGTCAGACAGCCGGAGGAACTGTGGACACAGGAGGAAGAGACACATGGGGGACAGAGAGACAGAGACAGCAGGGGACAGACCCAGACAGATGAAGACAGAGGCCCAAAGAGAGATGGGAAGACAGAGACCCAGACAGAAGCAGACAGACAGATGGGGAGGCAGCAAGGACCTAGAGAGAGAGAGGGACAGACACTTAGACAGAGGCACCCAAAGAACAGGGTGGGCCAGCAGGGAGATACATTCAGCCTTTGTCCCAGCCCCACCCAGCCTGGTGGCCCAGACATGCAGGCCTCACGTTGCTGGGCCTTCTGCCAGAATATATGAAGTCCAGGTCTCCATAGGCATCTGTGGGCTTCTCTGTAGTGTGTTCGTCACTGCTCCACTCTGAAACTACAGCTGCCCCAAAGGCGTCCTCCACAGCCACAGACGGGTGGGCATTCCGTGGTCTCCCACATTGGCACAAGGTCCCTCTGGGGGCATGAGGGTAGAGCATGAACCCTGGGTGTCCCACTGACTCCATCCTGTACAAATGTCCATACCCTGTCCCCAGAGATAGAGGCCAGAGCAAGGAAGGCCTGCACTGACTTTGATTCTGGAGAAGAAATCGAGGCAAGAGCTGCTATAGCCAGACAAGTCAGGGCAGGGAGACTGAGCTGCAGGATCAGAATCAAGAGGAGCAGGTGGCCATCGGCAGGCGCCACAAAAGATGAAATGAAACAGAATTCAAAACAGAAAAGAACTGTAAAGAATGATTCAACCACAACAAAAGTCAGGTGTGGTGGCACACACTTTAATCTCAGCACTCACTCAGACAGGCGGATCTCTGTGAGTTCGAGGCCAGCCAGAGCTACACAGAGAAACCCTGTCTAAAAAAAAAGAAAGAAAGAAAGAAAGAAAGGAAAAGAAAAGAAAAAAGAAAGGAAGAAAGGAAGGAAGAAAAAAAAAGAATGGTTCAAAGAAAAATTTGAGTGCCAGAGGTTGAGGCCGTTGTGCGGTTTGGAGCAAGCACCTTCACCGATCTGAGCTCTGAGACTAAATTTCCCCCTTCGATATAAAGATAGCAATAGCACCAAGGAACTCAGAGGAGCCAAGAAAATCAGGAGTGTTTCCTGAACTGAGGATAGCAACAGCTCCAGCTGGAGACCAGCTACGGGAACTTTAAATAACCCAGAATTACACCCAAGGAAAGTCAAGGCTTTTTCCAAGCTCCCTGACTGCAAGGGGGGTGCCTGCCGGGTGTTGGCCTGTCTGTCAGCTCCCACCGTCCCCAGGCCTGCTTTCTCCGGGAAGGGCAGGAGGCAGGCGACTGAGCCCAGTCCACGATCACCGTCTTCTCTGTCACTGTATCCCAGCCCCTTCCCTGCCTGTTTCCTCCTCACTCTGAGAAACAGGCAACAGATGAAGGTTTCCATTTCCGTCTCCATAGATACAATGTTTCCCTCTCTAAATAAGGACACAGTGGTTTGGAGAAACGGCTCCGGGATTAAGAATGCATGCAGAGGGCGGGAGTTGGATTCCCTGTACCCATATGGCAGCTCACAAGCATCTATATGTAACTCCAAACCCAGGGGATTCTGGCCTTCTTAGGCACCATACAGGCACGTGGTACACAAACACACACAGGCAAAAGGCCCATACAGGTAAAATAAATAAAAATTTCAAAAAAGAACAGAACGAATATTTTAAAAATCATAAATGTTCAAGTGTTCCTTGCTACTCAGGCGACTGTTGCCTTAGTTTTGGAAAGCAAGGAGCAGGGACTGGGGGAAGGCATAGCTGTCTTCATGGCCCTGATTGTAAAAGGAATTCAAACAGTGGGCTCACCACAGCTTCAGAAGCTAAGTGAGTCACTGACCTAGGAATGAGACTTCTTTTTTTCTGGGAGGGAGGGTGACATAGACTCTCAGGTAGCCCAGGTTGGCTTCAAACTTACTATAGCCAAAGTTGATCACAAATTATTTTTTCTCATCTATTTATTTATTTATTGCCTTCAAATTTCTGATCCTCCTGCCTCAGCCTTGAGAGTTCTGGAATTACAGGTATGCACTACCATAGCTGGCTTATTTTTGTGCAGAGGATGGAACCAGGACTAAGTGCTTGCTAGGCAAACACTCTAACTGAGCTACATCCCCAAGCCTTCCTGGGCCTTTGTTTATCTTAATTTTTTTACTATTTCAAGACAGGGTTTCTCTCACAGAGATCTGCCTACCTCTGTCTCCTGAGTGCTGGGATAAGACTGTGCCACCACCATCACCCAGCATCTTAGTATTTTTATATTTTGTATGCATGAATACTTGCCTTCATGTGTGTCAGTGCAGCACATAGATGGTGACTGTGGAGGCTGGAAGAGGGAGTTAGGTCCCCTGGATCTGTAGTTAGAAAGGTTGTGAGCCACCACGTGACTACTGGGACCTGAACTCAGGTCCTCTGCAAGAGCAGCCAGTGTTCCTAATCATTGCTCCGTCTTTCCAGTCCCCTATGCCTTGTTTTTTGAGAACCCAAGCTGGTCTAAAACTAGCTTTATTGCCCAGGTTGACTTTGAACTTCTGATGCTCCTGCTATGCCTCCTGAGTGCTGAGATGCCAAGCGTACACCAGTGCACATTGCATACCTAGCCTAGGACCAGTTTTACAGATGTGGGGATGCAGGCCATGTTCCAGGCCATGCACAGGATACACATCAGGTCTGTGCCTATGTCCTGTTGTCTTCCTAGAGCTACAATAAAGGACACAACCTCCTCCTTCTCTAATGCCAGTCCCCCCACACACAATTAACCCTCTTACACATCTGGATCTCATTCTTGGACTCCCCTTGCTCCCTCTACTTTTCTAGTCAAAATGTCTACATAGAACATTCTGGAGCACCTAGCCCCAAGAAGTCTAGTGTCTGCATGGGGTTCCTTATAATCTAACTTAACAAGTTAAAATAAACTTGGAGAAAGTGCTTGTCTTGAAAGCAAGAGTTCTGCATTCTGTCCCTAAGGTCCATAAACATGGATGTGGCTGTGCACAGGTGTAATTCCAGTGCTGGGGAGAAGGGGACAGCCAGCCTAGCCAGGTCACCCCAAGCTAGTGAGAGATGCTGTCTCAAAAAACAAGGTAGAGGTGTGTGAGGAACACCGCCTGAGGTTGTCCCTGGCTTCCACATGTACGTGTGCGCACATTTGCACCTGCACGCGGAGCACACACGGAATAAAGGAAACCTCTGTCTGATCACACTTCCTATCTCATGGCCCGCTGTCTCCATACGCAATACGGACAGTGAACAAGGCCACCCCAGAAGAAAGTTCTGGGCACATGGCGCAGCAACATTTCTGGAGCCTCCTGACACCTTTGCTCTGTGTCTCTGAAGCACAAAGGCTTTGTTCAGGTGCCATCTCTTTGTCAGGGGTGGCTGGCCACCATGGAATGCACCCTTCTGGAAACTTGGCCTGATCCTTCCTCTCCCCAAAGCTCGAGCCCAACCCCCATGGCAGCTTTCTCTCCCCTCTGCTGCCATCAGAGCATTCAAGAACTAGGCTGCCTCCTGGCAGCCCTCCATGATCTTCTAGCCCAAGGTCTCCAGGGGCCAAAAAAAAGGTTAGAAAGCTTCGGCAGTTGGCATTCATCTTAAAGCCAGTCAGAGATGACGGGGAGGGGGAGCAGAGAGGTTGTTGGGGAGGTGGGTATTTTGGTTTTTATTTTGTGTGTGTCTGTATGTGTGTGTGCATGAGCATTTGCATGCATGTATGTCTGGGTACCACGTATGTGTGAGGCCAGAAAAGGAAGTCAGAGCCCCAGGAAATAGAGTCAGATGTTTGAGAGCTGCCATGGGGGTGCTGGGAACTAAGCAGCCAGGGTTCTTCACCACTGAGCCATCTCTCCAATCCCTGGTGGGTTTTTTGTTGCTGGGGTTTTGTTTGAAGGTAAGATCTGCTTCTGTAGCCCGGGTTGATCTCAGACCTGTAATTTCTCCGCCTCATTCTCCCGAGTGCTAGGACAGGTGTGTACCGACACACCTGGCAGGTTTCTTGGGTTTGTGTTTTGGTCTTGGGAATGGAAACCAACACATGCTAAGTACATGTACTATCACTGAAGACAGGTGTTTAAACTTTTCCATGTGAGAAGGAAGGTGGGGGAGAGGCAAGGAAGGGACAGAGGGAAAGAAAATCGGCTGTGGAGGTAGCCTTCGCATTTCCTCGTCTGCTTCAGTGGTTTCAGTATCCAACTGCAGCTGGGACCTCTCAGACCCCAGTGTGAGCCTCAACCTTCCGCTAAGTACCAGTTGGGTCCCCACCCTCCCCACCCTGCTTCCCAAGGCCTATTATGCACACAGAAGCAAGGGCTACACTCTCAATGATTTTCAAACCTGCGTGTTTTCCTGGGTTTTCCATCTTGGTGACGACCGCCCCATTTCTACACTCTAGCCTGCAGACGGCATACCCAGGAGCCACACTGCCCATGAGCTCTGGTCCCCAGGGTCCACTCTCAGGTTCTCGACCTCTGATGGGTCCTCATGGCAGCTCACACCCACAGCCTGCCCAAGCCCTGCTGTGCCTTCCTAGCCCCAGAAAAACCTCACACTCACTCAGGTGGCCTCTGAGTGCCCATGAGGTCATGGCCTCCTTGCTCACGACAATGTTTACACCCTGAACTCTGCTCTTGTTTTCAAGACACACCGGCTATCATTAGGGAGGACTTTGAACATGCAGTTCCAAGGCCCAGAGTCACCTTCCAAGCCACACTGCCACATCTTCCCAATGACACCTGCGCCCACCAGCTCCCTTCCCCCACTTCTGTTACCCTGCCTGTGGCCCTTTGCCATCAGCAAACAGTCTATGTGTTTATTTACACAACATTTTCCTGTCCCACATGGTGGGACAACAGGCTCCTGATAAAGGCACACTAAGAAAAGAGATGCCACTGCCCCAGGCTGAAAGACCACCCTGAGGACAGATTTAAAGCTGACCCAACTAGGGAGACCACAGATGAAGCTCGGGGACTATGGGGCTTGCTCGTGCCTCCTGCCACACACAGCACGGCACGCACTGGTAATTGTCCGTTTCTCTTGGGAGCTGCAGACATTTCCGAGTGTTTATTAGGTGGTGGGCAGAGTTCCAGAACCGTCCCAAAGTGACCTTGTTTAGTTTGCTCAGCAACCTCAGGAGAGAGGAACTGTTCTGTGCCCAGGTGACAAGCCTGGCCCAAGAAGGGAATTTCTATCCCAAAGCTGCAGAGCTCGGTACGGCTGGCAGGGCTGTAGGGCCATCGATGGATGACACAGAGAGCCAAAGCAGAGACAAAGTGACACAAAGAGAGACACATGGACAAGACACAAAGACCCAGAATGGATCCCCGAAGCTTCCCAACCCCCAACTAGGGGAGAATGCAGAATCCGGGGTGTGCCCTAGGCGGGGGAAGGTTCGGTCTGAAGTGGAGGCGGGGAAATGCCCTTGGTGGGCGGAGCCTGTCTTGGTGGGTGGGGTCTGTCTGTGGCGGGGACCGAGTAGGGTCTGTCCATGGTGGGCAGGCCTTGTCTGCGTTGAGTGGGGGGGAGTCCGGACTGTGGGGGCGGTGCCTGTCTGCAGCGGGCAGGGCCCCCGAACCTGTGCTGCCAGGCCAGCTGCCCCGAACTGCTCACCCGGAATCATCGCAGAGGTCCACTATGAACGTCGTGCACACCTTCTTCCTGAAGATCTTAGGGATCCAGCTCTGAGAACCGGAACGAGAAGGGCAGGGCGGGAACCTGGGTCAGACCCACGGAATGCGAAGACAGCCCCACGCGTCCCCGGGGACACCTTGAGAACTTCAGTGTCCTCCTCCCGCAGGCTCAGGCAGGACCCCAAGCCCTTTGGTCTGGGAACTCCTGGCCCAGCGCCCGCTGCATCTGACCCGGATCGGCGGGGCCGGCGCCACTCTGAAACCCGCTCACATCCAGCCCCGCGCTGTGCGATACCTGCTCCTTCTCCGGGCCCACCATGCTGCCGCCGCAGCCCCGGGGGGCTCGGTGTATTTTCTCCCAGTAGCTGACCCACCCGACCAAACCGGATCCACGACTTCGCAGTCTAGCCCAGGGCGGGGAGTCCCAGGGAACACGTCACTGGAGGCGGGAAGAGGGCGGCCCGCGCTGTGGAGGAGGGACCGACTGGGCTGCCTAGCCCGGGATGGGGTCCGGTAGAGGGGACCAAAGACTCAGACTCAGAGAACGAACAGAGAGAGCAGAGGGAGGAAGGAGCCAGAGTGGGCCATGGGACAAACACAGACTCACAGACTCAGAGAGAGACGGAGAGAAAGAGACAGAGACAGAAACTAAGGGAGGGACCCAAAGAAGAAAGGGAGGGGGGAACACCCAGAGAGAGAGAGAGAGAGAGAGAGAGAGAGAGAGAGAGAGAGAGA